GAGGTCTTGATTTCTTGCAATACATTAATGACATTTTCCTACTATAGTTGTGTCCCTTGAAACTGAAGTTTATGCTGACTGGGTGGGCTCTAAAAGAGCCTGTATCTGCATTCAGGGATACTGGACTCCTCCTGTAACTGCTTGCACCACAGGTGCCACACATAATATAAAAATATCTTCTTGTGACCAGCCCTGCTGCAGTGGGGAGTTTGGGGAGTGGCAGTGGTAGATAAAGCAGGAGCCTGGCTGTGCCCTTCCCACCTGCTCAATAAGCAGCCACTTTGTGCTCACACAGTGGATCCATCCTGGGTCTGCCCACAGTGATCCCTGGTCAGCCACACCACAGGGAGCCCCCTGGGTATTTCTTACAAACCACGGAGGGTATGATAAGAGAATGACCTGCATGTTGCAAAGCAAAGTACTGGCTACATGACAGATGGAATAAGATATAACAGTGGTAAGATTTTATGAAGCACAAAAAATACACTGCAAGCACTTCTCTGTTTCATGCAAACCAGAAAATTAAATCCAGAGGATGCTGTTGGCTCAAAAAGCCAACCAGATCCTGAGCTCCCCTCCTCCAGAGGCCAAAAATATGAATGAACTAAAACAATCCAGATCCTATTTGATTGTTCAGCTCTAATGACTCACCTCCCCTGAGCTCTTCTTCGGCTAACGACAAGGAAACAAACACAGGCAGAACAGTATCGAACTTGGCATCATTTTGGCAAAGTTGCTTTTCCAGGATTTTACAGTCACCAGGTACTACTTGCACTTCTTCTGTTACCTGTGCCCCAAGAAAGAACCAAAGGTTTAAAAAGCAAACGGTCTGGTTTCTTTCAAGTCACCAATAGTTTCTACTTGAGTCCCAGGACAGCCTAAAATTTTACCCAAATTTGCTGTCTGATGGAGCTTAAATCAAGCAGCCAGTCAGGGTAGCTCCTGTAGCTCTCTCCTTAAATCCAGTGTGCCCTCCTTCAGCAGTGACCCAAAATGCTTTATGCAGAAGTAGAGCCACACACGAAATGCAGAAGCCAAGGGGGAGCCCCTGTGGATGCTCTGTCCTGAATCAGCTACCCTCACCCAGGAGTGGTAATGTGAAGTGGTAGCTGTGACCCCTCTAAAACCTGTGAGTGTACAAGGAAAAGAGTTACATTCCTAAGACAAGGGCAATAGCAGTGCCAAGAGTGAGAGTCACTGAGGTATCTCCTGCCCTCTGAAGCGGCTGAAGTTCCTCTCTCAGGAACGCCTGCCCTTGTGAGTCTATTTGGGCATTCTATACAGCACTGTACTTCTGAAGGAACAGAGTGACACACAATTATTAAATGCAAAGCAAATGTTGTAAGCACAATGTTATGACTGAAAACAGTTTAATCGCCCTTGCGTGTGATTTTTTGGGTGACGGACTATGTGTCTTACCCTGGTTTGAATATCTGCGTGCCTGTGAGCTTGCCTGCTTCCTTCACATGTACTGACTACCCTTTAAAAGGTATCACGTCTCCTGACAAGTTTCTGGGTCCCCACCAGCAGAAAGTGGTGCCTTCTCGACCTCATCCTTCCTCACACATTCCAAAACTTTCATATCAATAGCAACCTGCCTGGAGGGGGAATGAGCTTTGCAATCTCTCAGCAGAGGGGTCTAGTTGCCCACCCACATCGCGTGACACTGCGACGCTAATGGACGCTAATTTTTGTAATGCCGACGCCAAAGTAATTCCTGTGATACCTCAGGTCCTCCGCTGGAAAGGCTGGGCCCTGCTGCCTCCAGAAGAGGATGCCGGGGGTCGCACCGGAGAGGGGGATGCAGCCGCGAACCCGCCGCCGCCTGTGCTTCCCTCCGCCGGGGCCGGGCGGCGCTGGCGGCCGGCGATGACCGCCGTCGAGGCGGCAGCGAAACACCGCCCACGCCGGGGGTGGCCCCGCGTGGGTCCGGGGACGAGCGGGCGGCGCCCGAAGCAGACAGGCAGCCGGGGACCGCGGCCGCTGTGCATCAGCAGCGCCCGGAGATCCGAGCGGCGCCGGGGAGGGATGCGGGCACCGCCGCCCGCCCGGGCGAGACCTCCCCGTGTCCCGCACTGACGGCCGCCCCGCCGCCCGCGCTCTCCTCCGGGGCTCGGCGGGAGCCGCGGCTCCCGGGGCCGCGCAGCCCATGGCCAGCTCCGCGCAGCCCCCGGCGGCGGCGGGGGGCCGCGGCCCCGACGGCGGCTCTCTGGCGGGGGGCGGCGAGACCTTCGGGGACCGCTCCCTCAGCCAGGGCCTGAGCGTGCTGGTGGGGCTGGGGCTCTGCGTGACCATGTTGGGGCTGGGCTGCGCCGTGGAGCTGGGGCAGCTGGGGCAGCAGCTCCGGCGGCCCGTAGGGCTGCTGCTGGCGCTGCTGGGGCAATTCGTGGCCATGCCACTGCTGGCCTTCCTCCTCGCCCTCATCTTCGCCCTAGACGAGGTGGCGGCGGTGGCTGTACTGCTGTGCGGCTGCTGCCCCGGGGGCAACCTCTCCAACCTCATGTCGGTGCTCGTCGACGGGGATATGAATCTGAGGTAGGTGCTCCGCTGCCCCTCGCCCCCAGCCGGCCGGGGGGCTGCGGCGGCCCCGGGAGGCGGGGAGGGTTCGCTGGGCATCTGCCGCCGGTGGAGCCGGGACGGGCCGGCGGGCGGGCACGGTGCGCTGGGAATCGCAGGACTGCTCCTGCCTCTCCCGTGGAGGATCTTACAAGAGCTCCGACACACGCCTCCTGCCTCCTTCCCTAAAAAGCTTGCGTGCCCGCGCCGTGGCGGGAGCGGGGAAAGGGGTATAGGATGGAGAGGGGCGAGAGGAGAGCAAGCGGGCTCTTGCCGCTAGAAGTGCCCGGCCGCCTGCAGAACCCGCTTCCAGCGGGGATGGGGCTTTCCAGGGCTACCCCCCGGCCAGCCGCGCGGTGATGGAGCATTTCTTTGGTTCCCCCGGCGCAGCATTATCATGACGGCCTCCTCCACGCTGCTGGCCCTCTTCCTGATGCCCCTCTGCCTCTGGATCTACAGCCGCCACTGGATCAACACGGCCGTGGTGCAGCTGCTGCCCCTGGGGGCGGTAAGCCTGACGCTGGGCAGCACCCTGCTGCCCATCGGCCTGGGGGTGCTCATCCGCTACCGGCACCCCCGCGCCGCCGACCTCCTGGTCAAGGTAGGCACGGCGCCCGGAGAGGAGGGCGGCCACGCCGCGGGGAATGACCAGGGGCGGCACCGGGGACGGGGAGCCGACGGCAGTAAGCTTTTTGCTCTCTCCAAACCGGTGTTGGTCTCACCCAGGCATATTCATCTATTTAGGTGGAATATAAAGACTTACAGTCTTGAAATAAAACGGTGGGACAGAGAAAGGGAGGGAAAGGGCGGGTTACCCCCTACCGCAGCACACAGGAGGGAGGGCAACGTGATGCTCTACTCCGGCATGTATCCTCGACCCTGTAGCAGAGGCATTCCGTGACATCCTGCTTTGTCCCCACTCTTGCTGCACCCAGCAGCGAAACCAACCTGCAGGCACAGCCACACTTCTTTAAAATATGCAACTAAATAAGCTTAATTGAGAAAGGAAGAGTGAGGCACAAGTCCTGACTCTTGTTTCCCAGCAAGTCATCCCAAAGCAAAATGATGGAGGGTGACCTCAGCCCGTTCCTTTCCCGGGATATGATCAAACACATCAAAATCCCAGGCCAGGAGCAAATCTGGGAAGGGCAGTGCAACCATGTTTTGCCATTTAAATTCTTTAGCAAGCCTCTACCTGCTATGCTTATCCTTTCAGAATAATAGCCCTCATGTTGTTTACCGATGTCTGTATCTGTTGCCAGATTTCCCTGTGGTCCCTCTTGGTCACTCTGGTGGTCCTGTTCATCCTGACTGGGACCATGCTGGGCCCAGATCTGTTGGCACAGATCCCTGCGTCTGTCTACGCCATTGCAGTGCTGATGCCTCTGGCAGGGTACGCCTTGGGATACGGCTTAGCCACCGTCTTTAAAATGCCCCCACACTGCAGGAGAACAGTATCTTTGGAAACAGGGTGCCAAAACGTCCAGCTCTGCACTGCCATCCTAAAACTCACCTTCTCCCCGGAGCTCATAGGGAGCATGTACATGTTTCCCTTGCTTTACGCGCTTTTTCAGTCCGCAGAAGCAGGACTGTTTGTGCTGGCATACAAAATGTACGGAAAAGACAGCTACAAGCAAGATACCCTTGGTGAAGAGGAAGACACAGATATTTCCTACAAGAAACTGAAGGAAGAGGAGGTAGCTGATACTTCATATGGCACAGTGACCACAGAGGAGCACAACTCCATTCAGATGGAGCCGACTCAGACGGCACTTTAGGCAGGACAAAGAGGTAACTCCCAGAGACGTGAATGTGTGTTGTGCTTGCAACCAGGCTAGGGCTGTGCTCGCTGCTGTGCAAGCGGAGCTGCCCAGCCCCTGTTGTTTCTCCAGCTACTCCCATTGTACAAGGTGATGTGTGTTTATTACCATGACAGTTCTACTTCCTCAAAAGTAAACGTGAAAAAAAAAAAATAAATAAAGGAAAAGCATCACTGCGACACAAACCAGTAACTGTAAAACTTCATGCAAGGAGGCTGCTGCCTGGCTGAGTGCAGCAGGAATGGGTACAAGGAAGAAACTGTTCTACAGAGTCGACACCAACTCAGTGTCAGTTCAGATGACAAGAAAAAACCACGTCGCGTGTGTATCTCTGTGCCTCCCACCTGCTGTAAAAGCATTGTTCTCATTGTTGTCACCTCAAATACATGGCGAAGTCGAACGAAACCCGTGTTCTCCGCTGTTTACTCTCTTGGAGGCAATTAAGAGCCGCGCTGCCTGGTCCAGCTGGGGAGCTGTGCGGGGGTGGGGAATGGCCCGAGGCCGCGCACCAGGTGGGGATGGTAAGGGGCCGCAAGGCCGGCGCCCGTCGGGGGCGAGGGAAGGCCGGCCCCGCCCCGGGGGTATTTAAGGCCACTGCCCGGGGGTTGCCCCGGGTCCAGTGAGATGGCCGAGGAGGCGATGGCGAGCTATCTCTACGCCACCTACCACCCCTACTCCTACCGCTACCCACCGCCCAAGGGCAAAGGAGGGGTGGCGGGCGGCTGGCGGCCGCGGGGCAGCAGCAGCAGCAACTACTTCTCGGGCTACGGGGAGGCGGCCGCCGAGTACTTCGACAACTATCAGCGGGCGCAGCTGAAGGCCATCCTCTCCCAGGTCAACCCCAACCTGACGCCGCGGCTCCGCAAGGCCAACACCAAGGAGGTGGGCGTCCAGGTGAACCCGCGGCAGGACGCCTCGGTGCAGTGCTCGCTCGGGCCCCGCACGCTGCTGCGCCGCCGCCCCGGTCCCGCCGCGCCGCGGCCCCGTGAGGCGGAGCGAGAGCAGGAGCTGGGCAGCCCCGCCACCACCAGCACCCGCGCCGTGCGCTTCCCCCGCACCATCGCCGTCTACTCGCCCGTGGCGTCCCGCAGACTCACCGCCTTCCTGGAGGAGCCGAGCCCGGAGCCGGAGGGGCGGCCGCAGCAACAGGAGAAGGCGGCGGCCGTCGAGGAGGAGGCGGCCGCGCTGCGGGAGCAGCGGGCGGCGGAGGCGGCTGCCGTGCGGGCGAGCTGGGAGAAGCCCCCCGAGGGCGGCGCCGAGCCGCTCGGGCAGCGCTCGGCCGCCCCCGCGGAGCCGGCGACGGAGGCAAGGCAGGAGGAGCCGGCAGAGCCGCCGGCCCCGGCAGAGCCGCCGGCCCCGGCAGAGCCGCCGGCCTCGCCCCAGAAGCAGCAGCCGTCGACGGGCAAGACCCGCCTGCGCTTCCAGGTGAGTGTCGGCCGCAGGGGAGCAGCGGGGCCGGGCTGGCCCGGGGGGCGCCGGCACCGTCGAGTAACATTGTCCCCGGCAGTTCCTGGAGCAGAAGTACGGGTACTACCACTGCAAGGCCTGCAACATCCGCTGGGAAAGCGCCTACGTCTGGTGCGTCCAGGGCACCAACAAGGTAGGGCAGGCCCGGACTGCCCCGGCGGGCGCTCCTCGCTGCCGCCACCCTGCTGACCCCCGCCCTCCTCGCAGGTCTATTTCCGTCAGTTCTGCCGGACCTGCCAGAAGTCCTACAACCCGTACCGCGTGGAGGACATCACCTGCCAGGTAAGGGACCCCCGCCCTGCCCTGAGCCCGGCCGCTGCCAGGCCCGGCCGCCGCCGCCGACCGCCGCCTTCTCCCTCAGAGCTGCAAGCAGACGCGGTGCACCTGCCCCGTGAAGATGCGCCACGTGGATCCCAAGAGGCCACACCGCCAGGACCTCTGTGGGAGATGCAAAGGGAAGCGCCTCTCCTGCGATAGCACATTCAGTTTCAAATACATCATCTGAGTTGGGATGGGGTTCTTTGTTTTTGTTTAGGGCTCTTCAAGAAAACTGCAAGTCGAGCAGACTTTTTTTTGTTGTCTTTGTGGGTGTTGTTGAAGGTACTTGGCGAGATGTAGCTAGGAAAGCATGAAAATAAAAGTATTGCAAAGCATACTCAAATGATCAAGTGGGTTTGTGCCCAGCTCAGAGGTTGCATATTGTGAATTCTGTAACTTGCATAGGCAACAAGCCTAGAGGTGTATTGCAAGTCAGTGATGGTCTTGAAAGCAACTGACTCGGGATTCTGTAGACTCTCAGGTGAAAAGGGTTTCTGTTACTGCTCCTGCTCTTAAACTAATCAAATGCTTGAAGTTAACATAAAATTAACATCTGCAGTAGGTAGTAGGCCATCCTGCATGATGAATGAAACACTAGTAGTATTCACTTATTTGCACACCTCCACTCAATGTACAATGTATCCTGCACCTGTTTTTCATCATTAGAAAATGATTGAGGAAATGCTGTGTTAAGTACTGAATTGCTTCTACTGGTACAGCTGGTCTGCATTTAGCTAAGTTGGTGTTTTTGTCTGTAGGTGAAAGCCAAAGAAAGCTTTTCAGGGATGGCTCTCACAAAATGCTGAGGAACAGAGTCACTGATGTTATGGTAATGGTCTCTTGGTAAATGTGTTGCTCATCTTACTTGCACAAGGTTATGGGAGAGAAGTGACACTTCAGAGGAGCAAGGTGCAATAATATGGCATCTACTTGGCTTCCCTTCTGGTGGATTATACTTGAAGAGTTTGATCTAATTACAGTTTCAATGCCTGCCATCAGAAGGATTGACACTCCCACACTCCTTTGGCTTTGAGTTTGCAGCTAGGAGTTGTAGTGTTTGGTACTAATAGCAGAAACAGCCCTGGTTACTTGCAGGTGATGTTCTGTGTGGGCTATTGGTGCTCTCAGTGGTGGTGCTCTTTATAGGAATGCCATGCTTCAGCCAAGTGTTACAAGCTGACTCTGGAGAGTCAGCATCACCATCTGAGCGATTCATAAGCTAATAAAACCTACACCACTGCCCCAGACTCTACCTTTTAGCTATGAAGCTGCAAAAACGCAGATGAAAACCTACTTTTCTGAGAATGCTACCCATGCTGCTAATTTTTAAATTGAGCATAGAGTCACCAACCTTTTGCAGAACTCTTGAGGTAACTTCTCTTTTGAAAGAGTGATTTTTATATTTGCTATAGCAAACATATCTACACCTGTACCCAGCTTGAGAGATCATTCTATTAAATGTGAAAGGGAGTATCAGTCTGAGCCCATGCTGTAAAACAGCTTCAGTGCCAGTTTCTCCAAGTGGCAGCTAGTGTGTGGCAGGGTAGTCAAACAATATCCTTCGTATCAACATTTCTTTGAGGGGCAGTGTTATTTCTATATGCTTAACTCATCTTGCTGTAAATTCTTGGCCTTGTTTCAATATGCCCCTTGAACCTGCTGCAGCAGGCTTAATGCCTCAGTGTCAATTTATTTCAAAGTAATATTATTAACTCTTGCTACATTCATTATTATAGCAGTGTGAGGCATTCTGGGAAGAAGTAGACCTACTCCCTCCAGAGCAGAGCACTGTTCTATTTCATACTTCTACCTGAAGTGTTTATCCATGTACCACAGTAAAAGGAAATACCCCTTGCTTTACCAGGGATCCCTCAGTCACTTTCATGGCAAATTCTATCCTTGCCCTGTTCAATTTGAAGAGCACCCCTGCAGCTGGGCAGTGTTCTTTGTAGATGCACATGCCTTGTACTCACCTGTAGTTGCTGTGATGAGCAGTAGCAAGCCTCCAGTTTGAGGAATGCACCTGAGGCCCTCTCTGCAGCCACCTGGCCCCACTGCCTCTGCAGTTGCAGCTGTGATCTGGGATGTCTTTATTTCTGAGCATATTCCCCTCCAAGGATGTTCTTCAGTGTTTTCCTGTTTGCCTTCCCCATTCTTGTGGCTGTAGTCTGTTCCTGATGCATGCATTGAGAAACTGACTGTGATGAGTCTGTGCACCTTGGTAATGAGTCAGAGAACTGGAGCTCTCTGCCATGTCAGTATGAACTCATGGCAATGTGCCATGAACTTTCTATTTTTATAGGCATGCTTAGAAATTACTGCTTTAAGGATTACTTGCTGTGAATATGGTGACTCTTACATGATTATCAACCCAAAGTGAAATCTAGTACAACTTAAGGGCTGTGATCCCCACTAACTACAGCCAAAGCAGCACTTGGTTCTGCATGGTAAGATGTAGAAAAGGCTTAGCTGATGTGAACTGTGCTTCACCAGTAGCTGATGAAGGCTCCACATGGTGGGTAGCAGGAAGGAGCCACCCCTGCTTTCATCAGCTACTTCAAGGCTCTGTGGCTTGGAGTACAGTGCAGTGGGCAGCCATATTAAACAAGCATTCCTTAATCCTGTAGCAATCTTCACAGCTCTTTGTGTCATCCCTCTTGCATAAATATGTTTGATGCATTTACTGCTTGATGCCCAAGTACAATTCTGTACTTTCTAGCTGCTTTTTGGTTTTACTGCCATGTCATGTCCATGAGAGCACACACTGACTGTGGGCACTGGCTCCTAGACTCAGCAGGAAGGAAAGCTACTCCTGACCTATTGCAATTATGCAAAGTGGAAGGGAACAGCCTTCATGGTGCCAGTTCTTCAAAGCTATCCTGAACTTGCTCTGTACAGCTTTTTCATAAAGATTCATTTGCACATGTTAGCTCAGTGCTGTATTTGCTGCATCTTACAGGAGCTGTCTGATGTTTTGCTTGTTTCAGGACAGCTTTACTATAGCTTTGGATTTGGTATGGACCTGGCACCAGGTGATGCAGAGTAACAGCTCATGCAGTAGTTGAGTAGTTTTTGAAAAGCTTAATGAAATTAAAGAAATATCAAAAGACAGTCATCTAGCATGATTCTGCTCAATAGGGCAGTCTCCACTAGCTATTAGACATGGAGGAAGATGTGTAGCATAAGAATTACATATATGAATTCAGGTTTGTGTTTCATGAGAAATCCATTAACAGTTTCAGAAGATGCTTAGAAAAATGCTGCTCCAATGACAGGACATAAAAGGAAAAAAATTACTTCAGGGCACCCAGGCCTCTGTCAGTGTTTAATCTGTTTAGCTAAAGTACTGAAATTCTAGCTTGTAAAAATACACAAAATGAGAGATACAATGTCTTTTATTTTTACAAAAAAACTGGTAAAAGATGATGTAAATAAAAGTGTAATGCGTCCCTAAATAAAACTACCTCTCCCCTGTAAATACTTGTTAAATAATTAAGAACACCATCTACAGTACCACAAAACCATCAAAATAATTAAATTTTATCAGGGATAAGGGAAAAAATACAGTGAATATGAATGTGCCTTGACCAGTTACAGAACTTGTTAGGATAACAAAACTACTGTCAGCAGTCCAACAGCGTGCACAGTGCCTTCAATTAATGCATTTCAGCATAATTACATTTCTAGTGGGGCCTAATTCCCCCAAAAAGGCAGAGCTAAGAACTTCAATTCTACATTCTAAACTCTGGAATTAGAGCCCATTAAAAAGAAATCACAGTGGGTAAGAGATGCATATAAAAATACTGGCTGTTCCTTTTAAATCATAGGAATTGTGGGACTACATTCTTTTTTTTTTCTTTTTTTTTGTTGTTTGTTTTTTCTGTTTTTTTTTTTTNTTTTTTTTTTTTCTACAAAATGCTATTTGTTTCAACAGAATCCAGTTTGTTTTATGCTACAGACTTTGATACTAAACTATGAGTATATTGCCTGTTTGTGTGTTTTGGTAGTCAGGGTATTTTTTATATATTTTTTTTCTATAGTCCCAGTTCCTTAGGCTTCACTTGAGTCATGAAGATGCATATACATGCATTCAAACTCTTCAAACCCTGCAGGCTACTCATACTACATGTGACTACCAAGAGGGAATGCCCCCTTCTCCTCATAGCTTTACACACCTACTGTTTTAACAGTGCATTGCACAAATTTACATGAAAAATACTGGTTTTGCACTATACAGTTTCTAGAATATATACAGAATAAAATAAGTTAACTTCTAATGAGAATTGCTGATGGGCAGCATATATCTTTAATATACATTTTAAAGTCTCTGCAGGCAGCTACTTTTTGGTTAGTTGTTATCAGTATTTTAACATAAGCACTGGTCAGAGAACTGAGCAGCATTCCAATAAAGTTAACAGATATATTATTTCTTTTAGAAACACTGGGAAATCCCAGTTTAAAATATTATTAAATGTCCTAACATTTACACACTATGAGGATTAGATCTAATAAAATAAAATTTCTTCAAAAATAATCTTGCAGCTCTTTTAAGCATGCTCTGAGACCTTATTTAACAATCATCCATACCTTCAAAAAACAACTGCCACATAGCCATACATTCTAACTCACACACATTATTTCCTTATAACAGACAAAAAAGCAAATAAAATGCTTAGAAGTCAATGGTTTTTGCAGTCATATATCATTCTACTCATGTTTGACTGCACATTCTTCATGACATTGCAAAGTGTCTCATTAGGTGTTAAGTTGATGGTTTTACTGCTGAAAAGCCAGGAAGCCTTGCAGGTCTTCAGCCAAAATAAACCAGCCTTGATTTTAGCCTCATCCCACCTGCGATATTGATCCAACCTCTAGAGGCTGTTGCTGCAAACATCCTTTATAGTTCTGTTACAACAGAAAATAATGCATATGTATGCATTAGGTTTAAGCCCTTTTCCTTTCATGTAGTTTTTATACATAAATTTAATAAAAAAATACTACTGCCACACAGGCTGCTGTGCAGAAAGAGCAGTCAAGTAGGAGTTTCACTTCAATTTTCAGGGTTTCACTTGTGATGAAACAGTTTCTTGCTGTGATAAAAGTGTGTTGGTTGTCAGGATTGCTGGAGGTTTTTGTTTTTTTTTTCTGAAAGGTGCTCAATAATAGTCTGACATGTCCTCATCATCAGTTCTCTTCTAAATTGACAACTGTTCAGAATCCAGTGGTCACAAGATTTATTCCTGTTTTGATCTTCCCTAGAAGCTGACAGGATTGCACCATGCGGAGAGACTCTCGGATTTCTAGATTAAGTTCCATCAGCTTTGAGCTGG